AGACCGAAGGGCGTGCTACACGTTTCACGTTGTACGGTGTACTAGCCAGCCATCTCTGTACGGCGGCGGGACGCACGGATTCGCAAGGCTGTGGAACCTAAGCTCAGCTTCGATTTTCACGTAGACCTTATTAACGTAATCCATGTATCCGCTGCTGGCCTCGTGCTAAATGGCATAATCTTAGGCATGCTCAGGGTGACCTAATATATAGCAAGCATGCGGCCATGACTGTGCGCTGCGGAGGCTATTTCTCAGGAAATACAACCAAGAAGCAGCTCCAGGGCTCTTCAGCAACACACATTTTGTTAGTGATCAGTAGGGGTGACATACCTCCCTCAACAAAAGTAGAGAGAGTCTTGATGCAGATGGCTCAGCAGTGCAGGACACGAAGATAAATCTGAACAAGCACCCTCGCTAAGTGTATATCTGCCACTAAATTCTTACCAGGAGATTATATTAAGCGTGTAGCTACGGAACAATCGGAATGGTGAATTTCAAGGAGTCCGCGAGTGTCATAAGAAGTGACGAGCTGCCAGCAGGCTGGCCAGCGGATGTCTAGTGCACCACGTAGAGCTGATGCACGGGTCGGCCACAAACTACGTTCCGCAGCATCGGAAGTCCCCACAGCAGAGCATTGACGGTAGGTGAAAGATCTGTCTGAGAGACGTAGAACGCAGGTGGTGGCCAGCGCGTTGCGGTATAACCTGGTGTTGGTGCCCTACGGAAAGGTAAGTGCCGCATGCGCACTAAGTGTAAGACCCTAACCAAGACTGTTGTGAAGCAGAAACTACCGATGCCTCATTATTATCATTATTATTAGTGGAACTACTTGACACACTACACAGATTAGCAGTCTACTCCACATCTGACTACAAAAAAGCTTCCTTACAAATCTTCCTTACTAGTTAAGGACATGACAGCATTTCACAACAGCACTAACAAATTCGAGTGTACCTGTAGGCCGTTTGGACTTGCTAGTGCCTGAGCTGAAGTGTAACTATAATTCATTCTGGACTTTTATGAGCATTCAAGAAGAGGTGGATGGATTTCTGAGGGAGACATGTCTTCCTGTTCAGCCTGGTTGTTCAACAGCACCTTCAGTAACTACGGTGTGCAATTGAGCTGTTGCAGGACAACAGTGTCAGTGTCCTGTGAAGGCGTGAAAATTTTTTTTGCGTGACAAAATTGCGTTTGGGGAATTCATGTGTCTGCTGCATGAATTGAGCTAAATCAAACAAAATTTAAAGCATCCGTGCCAGGACCTTTATCTTTCCACCCCCACAGAAACGGTGGGACGCTGTGTGGGATTACACCTTGGTACCGACATTCAGTGCAGGAGATCCTTGGAGTGCTGCTCCTCCCTGTGATCTACTTCAGAAAACGCAGTATATGGCCTGGAGAGAGGACACTCATCTTGCACAGTGACGCAGGCTGCCTTGCAACTCCTCCGGTAAGTCCACTGCCCGAGTATGCCAGGAATTTGCTGTTATTGATCGATGCTAGCGACGTAGCCGTAGTTTGTATTCTCTGCCAACGGGTAAGGTGAGACGACTCATGTTTTTTATCGAAATTGCGTGAAGATTACGTTTTCGATACCGCTACCCCGCTGCTATTTCCGGACTCCGAAATGGCGAAAGGGTGAATCATCACACCTATGTGAATGGCCTGCAGTGATGCAAAACAAAGAGAGCTCCTTGTCACTTGTACATCGTGCTTGGCTGAGTCTTCGGTGTCACTTCGCGCAGCACCACAGAAAAATGGTCTTTAAGCCCAAGCTGTGATTCAAGATACAGTGAAAATGCTTTTGCCATCTTTCTGGTGGCCTGGGATTCGTCGCATGGCAAAGGAGTACGCACTCTCATGCACAGATTCTCAGCAGCTGGAGCCGCGCGATTCCCCTAAACCCCGCCCCGCCTTGTGCAGGGCTGTCCAGCTCCTGACAGCATTTAATTGGTCAGAGCACGAATGGCTCCGGTGAACTGCAGGACATCAAGTATCTGCATACCAATTTCATTCTTGTTACTATGCCTAGCAAACACGCTCATTTTAACCCTTGCTACGGGTCGATCACGGCCCAAGACATCGCTCTGTTATTCTGAGCTTCCCTCCGGAAGTGGTACGGATTCTTTGGGAGTATCGTCACTGATTGGGATCTGAGATCCTCGGTCACTCTGGATTCCCTTTATGATCCGCTTTCACGGTGACCAGAATATCATTACCGGAAGCACCCTGCGGGATGCGGGCAGACTAAGCCCACCAAACACACTCTTCTCCTGTATCCGGGAGTCCATGCTCACAAAAATTCAATTCTTGATGAAGCTGTCTTCCTGTCATTACTGTACAGCAAAAAATTCGCCTATTGGTTGCTCTGCAGCATCCCTTTCCTACCGTGAGGAACACTTTTCTTATACGGGCCTCAGCCTGATTGCCTTGCATAAGCAACCACCCTTAACGCTGATGGATGAAGTCAACAGGTGGCTTATGCATCCAAACGTTTGCACCCAGCTCAAAAAATACAAAAACAGAACTGTGCTAAAAGCGTTTCGGCTGTGCGCTCCGATCCAAAGGATTTGATGCTGGTAGATCGGCAAGCTTTACGAGGTACACCACAAGGCGGTCAGAGGAAGAAGCTTGCAGCCCGGTGAGTAGGACCATTTGCCAGTGTCTCGCGAATCGGTGGCCATTCTTTATCAAGTGTTCTAAAAGTTGAAGGTGCCACAGAACGATCAATGTTGGTCTCTTCAAGAAGTGTCGAAAATCCTTGAATTGCTCGCTGTCTTTGCTTCGCTGGCAGTAGCCTCTGAGGAGGCAGAAGATACTCAGGTAGCCATGGACACGCTCGGTTTCAGCTAATTGCCAAGATTACATTTGACTGGAAGGTCGTGTGAACTACGGCGGGAAATGCTGACCTCAGTGGTCGAACGAGGAGCGAATTCTGGTAATGTTGCCTGCATGAGACTCTGCAGCTCTGCTTGGTTCACAACGGTGCTCTCCATGAACAGCATTTCTCGCATTCTTTTGTAATTGCCGTTCTTCGGAGCATGAAAGATTCTTGAAAATGCCCACATCTTCGATAGGTATCAATTGAAAAGCTTCTGGTAATTATGTTGATACTACGCTCAGGGTTACGCCTAAGCACTATTTGGTATGTGGTCCCTATATACGTTTATATGCCTCGTTAAGCTTTGGATTCGACTGTGCTGCGTGCAGAAATGCATCACCATCTAGGCAGTGCGACGGAAGACCCCGCGGCACCGCTCAACTAGTGTATGCGTCGTTAACCTTCTATATTTTCCTTGTGTCCTGTTTTTGCTTAGCAGGAGGCGCACACTTCAGCGCTCCAAAGGCAGCGAGCCACCGAACCGCTACGATTATGTTGGTTTGGTCTGTCCCATTGTGTGCCTTTTCCTTGTTCACTTTCTCGATAGCGTTCGAAAGGCGCATTTACTTACTTTTTCCCTCTACGCTGCCTTCGCTGGCCTACATGTGAAGGAACAACAGGACGGGAACACTTTCACTGTCATGAACCCAATCCGACCCGCGCACAGATGCCAAAATGTAGGTATGGTCTATGAAATTGAGAAGAAGTAAGGGTGTACGTTACACGTACACACTTACTGCTACGGGGTTAGTAAGCGACTGACTATGTAGTACACCAGTAAATCTTAGTTTTTGTATAGTACTTTTACCTCGCTACAAGAAGACGCAGTTTCGCATGAACGTGCGCTAAATGTCATACGCAATCAGCCGTGAATGCTGGGAGAGCGCAGAGCGGTGCAGCAACGCGCAGCGTAGTGTGCCTCTTTTATGCGAGGGACCCAGAGGGGCGTGTACAGGAAGTGTGGGAGTTCTTTCGAAAATTGCTCAATAACCTTTTATCCTGTGTGTATTGAGCCTGAACTCAAGCTTCTACGATTGGGGGCTTTAGGTGAAGCACTACAACTACACAGGCCTCTGATAAGGACTTATCCCCAAATCGAGTTTATGGGGCTGCTTCAAGCCGCATGTAAACCATATAATACACACGCATATTCAGAATGGTAAGGCTGATCTGACCCATGCCCCCAACACTAATGAGTCCCGGTGATGTGCCTGTGAAGGAGGAAAAGGAGATCTTTTGATATGGAAGCTACTCCTGTCTTACGCGAACGAGAATATTTGCATGTTCTGTTAAATATAGCATGCGCCATAGATTCAAAGATAATTCGAGGGCCCGTGTACTTGTTTCTGACACTCATGTTCCATTCAAGCGACTACACACATCGTAACCAGCAGCCCCACCATAGCTATGACATTGGTCTCAGGAATTCCTGTGATTCAAAAAGCACCTTTCGTTCACATTGATTTGAGAAACTTCCAGGGGCCTGTTGCGTTGATGAGTCTCAGTCTAGGCAAAGCTTACGAAGGAGATTCCTGCAAGCCATAACCAATTGCTGCAGTGGTACTGCGTGTCGCCCGTGTACAGCCTTGGGCCCCGGGGCCCAACTGTTGCCCCCTTTTGTGATCTAAAGATGCGTTTTCTCGAGAGTATTATTTTCTGAGCCTATCTCAGTGGTTGCTTTCCTGCTAACAGCAGTGTTCGAAACATGCAGGGCTCCAGCACCACTTTGTTCCTATAGACTGGCAACCAGCCAGTCATGTTTCATTGTTGATACTTCTGGTTCATTTGCCTTCCAGTTTTCAGTTTAATGCTCTGCATTTCGTACTGGCATACAATTCTTGGTTGAGTTTTTCCTTGTAAGGTTTTCCCCGCGCTTACCTCACTGCAGTTTACTCCTGTGTCGTGCGTGGTCAGAGGCTTCTCACGGCAAAAAGTAGCTTGGTTCCTTAGACTACGTGGAAGCTCCTTGGTTGAAATGAATCAATATTAGCATTCATATGGCAAAAAGATTCACTCATATGGTTCCTCAACACGCAATGCAGTAGAAGGTGGTTCTCAAAAACATGCTGCCTTGAAACTGTCTCACCTCTTCATTCCTTTGCCCGAAACAATAACGAAGATGGGGGCCGGTATTTCCCGGACAAAAAACAAGTCGGAGAAGAATCAGCAGGGCCGGTTATTGCCATCTCCAGCTGTACAGACCCCGCAGGTTTCCCCCTTACAGCACCCCGTTCCTTCCCCACTTTCAAGCATCCCAGAACGGTGTGTTACACTGTACCACCGTCATCTCAGTGAAAAAGAAAAAGATGTTAGTACAGGCCGGCTACGTACACTTCGGGCTCCCGGAGATCCGGCTGGCAGGCACGAAAGAGGCGGTCTTCCCCGACCGCACACACAGAGCGCCTCGAATAGCATGGAGTATGAAGTAAAAGATGTCGAGAGCCCAGTGGAGCAAGCCGAATCTCACCCCAAGGAAACCTGCTTCAGCATCAACAGATCTAACTTTATTCTTGAGAATACCGGCAAAATACAAAGCCTCTATGACATCGATCCAACAACTCTCGGTTCAGGAACATACGGCAGTGTCTCACGGGCAGTCCGCAGATCCACTGGAATGCAAAGAGCCGTCAAAACGATAAGCAAATCGCAGGTCAAAAGCATCGAGAGATTTAGAAGGGAAATAGATATCATGAAAAGCCTAGTGAGCAATACACAAATTCAACAGCCCCTGCATGAATTCATGTACAAGGGTACTATCGCGTATGCGCAAGGGTACATGTTTACTTTCAACTTTACGTGCCTGTACGTGCTTTCTCTGTCCAATTGTCATATATATTCCTGCGATGTATGGAATTGCAAAATGCAATTAGAAATTACTGTGGATGCTGTGTGCAAAAATATCGTGCTATTTGTGTAGTATATTTTTATGCATGGGTCATGCATCTATATACAGTGGGTTTATTGTTCTGATGCGTCAAGAAGATGGAACGTTGTAGAAGGTGCGCACAACAATGTACGCAATGGGTCTGCTGTCCTTGTGCCGACATGTTTGCTCAGGACCATCCGAATGTCGTAAAGTTATTTGAGACCTTTGAAGATCACAGAAACATATACCTCGTCATGGAGTGGGAATTGACCTTTTACTGATGCTGTGTATCTATTTTTATAGAATTGAGCTCACCTCTGTCGAGTTGAGATATGTGCTGACGTTCTGTGCCACGGCCTGGAATGTTCGGCGCAGACTTATTTGCATGCATTCTAATGCTGATTTCATATAAACGTAGGGACTCTAAATATATGCATGCGTATCATCGAGATTTCATGCATGTGACTCCTTTTGTTGACGAAGGTGTATGCTCTGAATAAATTTAGGCTGTGAGCCGGAGGTTTTTCTACCTAGAGAACAATGCGATGCACGTTGAACCTTTGGCCGTGTTTGAACCGTAGATCCTATCATTCAAGGTCACGTACGTGCCCGTACTGTGATTTGTCCTTTGAATACGCAGGTTGTGTGAGGGTGGCGAGTTGTTTGATCGAATCATAGCGGAAGGCCACTTTACGGAGAAGCGCGCGGCGTTGCTCATGCGACAGGTCTTTTCTGCTGTTAATTATTTGCATTCAAACCACATAATGCACAGGTAGGGGTGATTCATGCTACTTAAATCGTGATTTTGTAGACGTTTGTTGCTGAGGCAATGCAGAAGAGATGCAGCGGGCAAGTTGCATTTCTTCCACAGCAAAGACATATTTTTGCTGGCTTACTATCTTCTTCCATGAGAAGCTCTTCATCGCAGGACACATTGTACAACATATAATCTTTCTAGAGACAACACATACGGTGATGCGTGCATTAATCTTGATGTTCTAGGCTAGGAAATGTGTGCGCGCCTTGGGCTTTGTACAAAGCAGATTACCTGCGCTGCAGTTATTTTTTTTAATTGATGTCGTTTAGCCTATTTCCATTATTGCTGTCTATGTACTGCAACTGATCTATGTACTTATTGGTAGCATTGTGCTTCTTCCCATTTATTTCTGGATGAATCATGTAACCTTTGAATGACTTGATCCTTTTGTCAGGGATTTGAAGCCTGAAAATTTCCTCTTCTTGAGCTCTGCCAGGGATAGTCCCTTAAAAATCATCGACTTTGGGCTTTCATGTCGATTTAAGCCCGGCGAGTTTGTCTCGACAAAGGCTGGAACGGTAGGCATTCAGCTGGTTGTGCTTCTACCCTCACAACATACTTACTCTATGCAGTTACTCGATCATATCACAGAAAGCGTAATGTTTAGATTGACTGTATCCTTAACCCGCCCATCAGTGTGTCCGAATATCTGTTCATAATTAACGTGTAAATGCGTCTGTTGAGACACTGAATCACCAGGACGTTCATTATTGTGTCTACGGCTTATAAGGCCTTCGACCACATTCCACTACGAGTAGTAGCCGTTCTCAAGGCTTGCAAGCTGTTCGGTACATGCCCTATGTGCCATCGATAGATGCCTTGCTAATCTTCCCTTTTATTTTTGCAGCTGCATCGTGTTTCTGCTTCAGCCATATTACGTGGCCCCCCAGGTTTTGGAAGGCCGATACGACTTTCGCTGCGATGCGTGGAGCTTGGGCGTTATATTGTACATTTTACTTTGCGGATTCCCGCCATTTTATGGAGATACGGACGCAGAGGTTTTAGCACAAGTGAAAGCAGGCTCATATTCATTTGCTGGGCCAGAGTGGAGACGTGTCTCTGACGAGGGAAAGGATCTTATTCGAAAACTTCTCAAGATAAACCCGGATGTGAGGTTTTCTGATTTACTGCCGACGACGTATTTTCAGAAGGATACGCATGCACTGGAGAGCTCTGGGCAACGTCCCTAGGCACTTTTCGTCCGACATGCTTGACTAAATTGTTAGCCGGTCTGGCTGATAGGCAAAAGGATCCCGTGTGTATACGGTCACTTACGGCTCTGTATTTCGAACTCTTCAGTGCTGAAAGGGGTGTCTTCAAAAGTCAACAGCACAGCAATTTGGCATTGTAATAATCATTCGTAGAGTGGTTAAGGTATCTTGCTGTCGAATGAAACCTGCCGCGAAATGATCCAAATCCGTGATACATAGTGTTCGCTTTCTACTGATTCTCAGGAGCGTCTGCAGGTGGACGATGCCTTGCATCACCCTTGGATCATGAGCCTTGCTCAGAGCAGTCAAAACGTGCCACTACCTGTTACGCTTATGGCAAACCTCAAGGCAAGTACCATCAGTGATCGGCTGTATGGGCCTTGGTAATCTGGGCCACTTGCGGAAATTCCCCATGTGTGTTTGGCCACTTTCATTTGGATTTATTGTATCTTAATGAGGTGCTGTTGCAATAGTGCTTCTGTGCTTGGGCGTAAACTGCTTGGGGAGACCCTAAAAGTGGTCATCAAAGCTCAGCGGCATGAGCTGGTCATATGGTTCGATGGTGTGCGATTCTTTCATGTTCACATATGCCTTTCTGCAGGGCTTTCGAGCGCAAAATCGTTTAAAGAAGGCCGCCCTAACCGTAATAGCGCAACACATGACTGACTCGGATATCGATCATCTTCGTAAAATATTCATTTCCCTCGATGTGGACAACTCGGGGACACTCTCAGTGCAGGTATTTAAGGCATCAGGCCGGCACCTGTTGCAAATGCATCAATGATAAATCAACTAGCTCGCGTCATTTTTCATTGAGGAATTTTAGGATGCATTCCTCTTTCGTTGGCTCCATCTGGTGTGTTATCTTCTGGAAGTGAGAACCTACTGGTATTATGCCAAAAATGTGTGTATTGTGTACTTCGACATAATGTCTCGGCATTTTTCTGCTTTGCACGGGCTTGCGTTTGCCTGTAGGAAGTTGCCGAAGGGCTAAAACGTTTGGGGTGGACAGAAATTCCTCCCGACCTTCAGGCCATCATGGAAGAGGTCGACTCAGACAAATCTGGCCACATTGACTACACTGGCAAGGCTCGCACTGTTTTAGCCTGATCTCCATTAGGCACAAACTCACATGTGCACAGCATGCAGCAGATGCAATGTAGATTGCTCAAGACCAGTGGCCCTTAAAAGTGGCTACGGAGCTTAGAACTAAATGAATTGATATGTGACCGCATTTTTCGATTCATAAGTACTAGGTAGAATGTCGCGTTTCCCCCGATTTCAGGTGTGATGTCGCCGTTGCACTAAAGTGCACATTGTTCTCCGCGTTTACCTTAAAGTTTATGTCAGTCGTGTGGTAACCATTTGGGGGAAGGTATGTGTACTGTTTACAGAATTCATTGCTGCAACTATGGATAGGAAGTTGTATATGAAAGAGGACGTGTGCTGGGCGGCTTTCCGCGTGTTCGATTTGGTGAGTGTAAAGTTCCAGGAATGTGAAGAACAGTCAGTAGTAGAGTGCAGTTTACCTATCCTCTCGCGTCCGTATCACCCGCGTGTTGTAGGCCTCAGAGCAACCAGATTGCTTGTTTTCATATGCGCGCCTCGTGTGACCGTCTTCTTCAGTAGAGCCACCACGCCTCCTGCCATTTATTTTCATTGTTACCCTTTTCACTTTCCGTTTTGAGATACAAGCAACCAAAAGTGGAACATATGCCGCATTGTGTGTAATATACACCTACACAGCAGCTGGAAGTCCATCTGGTCCAAAACAACGCTTGGTATATCGTTTCACCCGTTACACCTTTGTGTATACGTGGCTTTCATGAAATGATGTTCTTACAGAATCTTTTGGAGCATGAACGGTAGTCTGCTGTTGTGTGGTATTCGCAGGACGGCAATGGCAAAATATCTCAAGATGAGCTGCGCCAGGTCCTCGGGATGCCGAACGTACAGGGGGCCGTTGGCACGGAGACTATATCTGCTCTACTAAAGGAAGTTGACCTCAACGGGGATGGAGAGGTGACTAATTTATTTGGTTTATTAATTGAAAGTGAAATTCGTGATTCACCTTTATCCTCCTCCACCGACCTTAGCCCCCTCACTTCCAATAATATGCTGCCTTTGGAAGCTGCTGCAGCAATAATTTGTCGGGCGTGTAACTGCAGATCGACTTTGAAGAGTTTATGCACATGATGCGCAAGCGCACTCCCGGGGAAATCCAGAGAGAACGGGAGTTCAAGAAGAAATCTGGGAAGCTATAAGTAGTGGTATTTTATCAATCCGCCTTCAATTATCTGCGTAGAAGCGCTTTAATTGACCTCCCGCCTGTCTGGGTGAGGAGCGAGAACTCGCGCTTTTTGAAACGTTGCGCCCAGCCTTGCTATCGGCCGCCCAGTTGCCGCAAGCGCGGCAGTACCGTCCAGCAGCAGCGGCAGTTTCCTTTGCTGTTGTCTTTAAGGCATATAAGGTTTTGCTTTGGTCATACATGAAGAGGCAGCACCCACAAGCGGTGGCGGGTCGCATTCACATGCCAAAGCGGTAGGATCAGCAACAGCAGTGGGTCTGCTGGTTACAGGTCCCACGGTGTATGGGCGACCCTGTATTAAAATAATATTGCTGTTCTTGCCCTCGCCCAATATGATATGTAGTTGCAAAGCGACACAGCCACAAGCTGAGGCTCTACCGCTGCGGCCGCTTGTGTCAGAACCAATTCTGCGGTCCCTCTCTGTAGAGTACAACGGGTGCAGCTTCCGTGGCGGTAGTGCCTATCGAGTTTACCGGCTGACACATTAAGTGAATCAGCTGAGAACTCGGGCGGAGGAAAGCATTTCTGCTGCATTTTCTGAATGATTAGAACTGAACCTTCGTGGTGCATCAGCGATCGATTTATCCAATGTTCTATGTGCACACTTTCTTTAAGGCACTCTGAATACTATAGCAAGTGTCCTTTGGCAGTAAGCATACATGTGTACTGTAACCTTTATTTAAAAACCCAAGTAAGCTCATAGTTAAGGGAATTTTCCAAGGGCTGAGTATTGGGGATGGTCTACGTTTTTCTTAGGGTACTTCCAGGGATCAAGCAAGCGTTACTGCGGGTTTGCGTGCCCCTCCTTGGAATAACAAAGACGTTAAGTAGTTCTGCACTGACAGCGAAGTAATTTGAACAAACCAAAACCTCTCTTATTACCACTTACGATAGAGGTCTTTTATCGTACAAAATTCCATACTCGGCCATTTACCAAAAAAAAAACAGCCTGGTTAGTGGAATGGGTAGTGCGTGTACTTATTCTGAGCAAGCATCCCGCACAATACGTAAAAGATGACTTTGATTAACCAATAGCTGCTGCTGCATGTGCGAATCCTCGGTGGCATTCGCTCGTTTGTCCTCCGGTAGCTGCTGCACTAGCTCACTTAGCTCGGCCTCCTTCAACCGCTGCACAGACTTTTGCAGCAGGGGATCTCGGTGAAAGAGCTCGTGTGCCACGGGACTGCAGGCTGCTTTTTGCAATTCTTCAAACTCTTCCGGTTCCAAATTGGCAGCAGCAAACCTCCAAACCTCCGCGGCTGCTGCGTGCAGGAGCTCCTGCTGCTGGTCCTGGTCCTGTGTCGAATCCTCAGCCACCAACAGCTCTCCTACGCGGTCGCGCCTCTCGCCTGTGACCAGCCGCACATTGCATAGCTGTGGTACAACAAGGGGTGGTGAGGTATGAATTGGCATTCAATTACGGGGTTTCCCAGTTCCCTGCTACCGTCGTCTAGTTGTTAAGTGTCATAAGGATTTATTTTACTTGCGATTGGGTACGCTACTACGCCTAAGCCACGGCAGCACAACCGCTGCGAGGGTGGGGGGGGAGGGAGAATTCTACAGCTAACTAATTGCTATTAGATGGTGTGACAGACGAGAAGCAGCCAAAGGAGGAAGCTACGTGCAGACAATCGGTTTGAATGTTTACGTGCCTTTGTCTGGTGTGCGTCCCATGATTTCCGCTTCCGTGCTGATGGGCCTGCTGGTGGCGATCTGCACCGCTCTCAGTTTTTGTGGTGTAATGGACAGCTCCTTGCACTGTTGCTTGATGTTCTGTTCTTCACGCTGCATTCCCATCGCAGTGAATTGACGCTCGGGATGCTGCTGCTGCAATTGCTGCTGCAACTCTGCGCCTTCCTGCTTGTTGCGCAGCTTTCTCAAGGCCGTGGCGGTCGACCACCAGCTCTGTGGAATCTCGTAAGGCAAACGCTGCATACGGCTCCATTGCACCATTCCATGTTGCATCCAGCCCCAGTACATCACCCACGTGGGCACTGCGCCGCTGCTGCTGCTCCTTGTGCTGCGGTTCCCTGAGTGCCTGTGAAATTCTGCCGCTGCAGATGTACCAGTAGCAGCAAGATGCCGTGAGTGCACGGCGTCGAGGGCATGCTTTTTTAGACCTTCGCGTGCGTGCCTTAAAGCCACCAGTAGGAGATCCCCCGTCTTGGGAACTCCTGTTGTTGCAGCTGCTGCATCTGACGTGCCAGCTGCTGCTAGCCGCTTTTCTTGCCAAGATGAGGTGGTGCTCCGAAAGCGTCGCACAACAGAGGCTGCAGAGGCCGCCAGATGCTGCTGCTGCCAAGACACAAGGGAATGCAGTGCACGCAACTGCTCCTGAAGTGCAGCGCGTGGTTGCCTCTCGGTTGCCGTGAGGTCACGCCATGCGCGTATATCTAGCGATGCATTTTCACCTAGTATGTTTTGTTCTGATGGTGCTGCGAGGGATATGCCTGTGTTTCTCTGGTCAGGTGACCGGCTAATGGCCACAGCCACTTTTGCCGCGGCTTGTGCTTCCGTGTCTGCAGCAGCAGCAGCGGCCCATTCCTTAACAGACGGAGGGCGGTGCAGATGCAGCAAATCGGGGCTTTGGGGGCCCTTTAACACTAACGCGGCCTCACACCGTACCAGCTGTAGCAGCACTTCATAGGCGGCAGCAGACAACACTCCACCGGCACAGCTATAGCTGCCGGTGGTCATTTTGTTTCCCTCTGTGTCAGAAGGAGCAGCATCTGAGTGTGAGGCACTCTGCTTAACCCGTATATCAGCAGCATCCGGCTTCTGTTGAGTGCAACGCTGCTCTTTGGCGGGTGGTGCAGCGCCGTGAACCAGGAGGACTACTTGCTGCAGCTGTTGAACTGAAACCTTAACTGCAGCAGCCCAGCTTTCCCAGCTGGTAAGCAGCAATGTGTCTCGCTGCTGCTCCCAGTGCCGCAACAACTGCGCCGCGGCCTCTACGTCCTGATATCGGAAAACCCTGTCAAGCAAAAGCATGCATGGCTCCTCCGATGCTGCCATCGGCGTACCAGATGGTGTTGCTGGTGGCGCATCTGCGGCAGAGTCTAAGGCCGATGTCTTTCTGGTGCAAGCATCGGTTTTGAACCCTTGAAGTCCCAGAACCCTCACTGGCTGCCGCAACAAAAAAGTCATTTGTGTTCTTTTTCTGTTCCTTGATGCTGCTGATGGTCGGCAGACCAAAGCCGCACAAAATGTCACGGCATTCTCGGCTGGAATCCCAAGAAACCTATTCCGCCCCGGAAATTGGCAGGTCGAGACTCGCGAAGGGCATTTGCTGTGACCTTGGTGTACAAGGAGCAGGAGGAGGAGGGGTACGAGCGAGATCAAACGCGGCAAGAGCATAATTGGTTGTTGCTCACCCTGCTGTTGGTAGAGACGACGATCCTTTCGGGGCATACGATACAGTGTCTTCTGCAGCGGCAATTGATCCGGTCTTCTTGAAGCATTGGTACCCTCAGACTCACATTGTCCCTTCGCCGCTAGGTGTCTAAAAAGCGTTGGCTATGTGTAGCTGCGACAGGCGCCCTGGACGCATTCATCATGTGCAGAAAGTACAGCATGAGCTTACTACTTGAATGCTGCTATTAGGCTGCAACGGAGAAATGACAGGGTGCGGCTGTATCAAAGGATGTGAAGTACGTGGGGGGTCGGAGTGTCTCTACACTCAAAAATTCTGCTCTATATAAATTTGCTTCACCTGGCATTTACTTTGTTGCAACACGGAAGAAGACAAAATCACAAACCTTTTAATACTTTTCACACGAATTGGCTGTAGCCGACGACACTGTGGCATGCAGTGACGAATTGCACTTGGTCGCTCTTTGTCCATTTTTCTCGATGCCCTCCTTCAATGCGATGTCCCTCCTTTTTATAATTTGAGTAACATTCTATATTGACGCAGGAGATAGGTGCTACCTGGAGCCGGTCCTGCTCCCTCATGCCAGCCGACTGGGGAGCGCTTCGCTTGTCTGCATATGGGCTTTGCTGTGAGCCTTTTATGAAACTGCGACCTAACATACCCATATTACGCTTGTACACGCCTTGTTCTGTCCTTTCTGCATTCTGCTGGCGCCTCATCGCGTTGAGTCTGCGATAACAGCTGCCCTGCGTCTTTTGGTCCCCGTTACAGATTCCCACTAGAACGACACCATGGTGGCCGCTGAAACAGAAGGCAAAGCGCGATCAGTTTCCCCAAAACAGCTGGAGCCTGGGCAGAGTCATCACCATCACCATCATCACCACCACAAGCGCACTTGGTACAATGATTTCTTATTCCTCGGCGCGATTCTTTCCGGTATATACGTCTTCTTCTTAATGTTCGGATACTACCAGGAGAAGATATACAGCACCAAGCATCCAGAGACTGGAGAAAAATTCTCATTTTCCTGCTTTTTGGTTCTCGTTGCGTGCATGAGCAACGCCATCTTCTCCTTCATGCTGATACTGCTGCAGCATCGCCGCCGTGCTTTGGAACTACTTTTACAACTGAGCGGCCACAGCGTCAAAGAGACGGCGCTAATATCTCTGTCATATTCTGGCTCTATGCTCTTTACTAACTACGCTTTGACACACGTCAACTACCCTACGCAGATTCTTGTCAAAAGTGCAAAGATGGTGCCCGTCGTTGTTGGGGGATTCGTTTTCTTCGGTATGAAACCCTAAAGAATAAGCTCTAGACACTAAAGCTATAATCTAAAACACGCTCACGTCCGTTTAGCCGTCCTTATGCCTCTAAAATCGATGGCACTGCTTTAAATATAACATCCGTCGTCCACGCCTTTTCTGAAGTGCATGACCCTTACTCGCCACTTGTTTGTAGGTGAAAGCATATAGTCCTATGAATAAACCACAAAGTTAATTCCTTTGAGATTACTAAGGGGACAACCTTCCTGTCAGATTTGTTGGCTCCTTTTTTCGGTCAGAACTGGCAGTTCTTGCCATAACCTGTATAAAATTTGCGCTCGTTTTGGGGAAACTGATCTCCGTGTCGTTTGTGTGTGTGCGTGTCTGTATGTATGTTCGTGTGTGTGTATGTATGTGTGTATACATATACATGCATGTATTTATGCGATGCCTGTCTTTCCTCAGGAAGAACTTATCCCTGGCAAGATTATTTGTCCGTGTTTGTTGTAACATGCTCTCTGACGGTGTTCCAGCTGTGCAAGCACGAGGCAAAGGCGGTGGAAGGTTCTCTGCATCAAAACTCAGTGTTGGGGCTGTCATTTTTGTGCGGTTCGCTTCTGTGTGATGGCCTCACGGGGCCCCGTCAAGACCGGCTGATGGCGAGGGAAAAACATTTGAGCTCGTTGTTAATGATGTTCCTGACCAATGCATGTGCGATTGTTTGGGTGGGCACTGCTGCCGCTGTCACCGAAGGCCTCAGGCCTCTATATTTCCTCGCGGCGCAGCCGGATGCTGCTGGTCACCTCTTTGCCTTTGCAGTGTGCGGGTCGCTGGGGCAGTTGTTTATATATCAGAGCCTGAAGCATTTTGGCAGCCTGTACACCTCGCTATTCACGACCATTAGGAAGGCCGCCTCCACCGTCTTCTCAGTGTACGTGTTCGGCCACAAGTTGAATGGAATGCAGTGGGGCGCTTTTGCTGCAATGTTCTCCGTAATCATGTTGCAGTCCTATGTTACGAACAAGAACAAGAGGCACCACCATCACCACGAAGCCAAGAAGGAAATCTAGCCATGATTTACCAATTTTGTTTTAAAAGAGTTTCACGATAATCCAAAATCAATATATGCTCACTTTACGACGGTGTGGGCAGCAGTGAATGCGCTTGTGGTATGTGGATGCAATACGACGGATCAGCACGCCAAGGATGCCGAGAGGCCCTCCTCAGCACCAAGTCGCATGTCCTGCCTCCTATCGGCGTGCAGCGCCTGTGATGGTGCTTTTTGCAGCTTTCGACCTCTGTTGAAATTATGCTACATTGAGCACTATATGCCTAGCCTAAGAGAGAGGGGCAGAAACGAATGCCACTGGTATCGTAGTGGGTAGACAGGTTGCGTGGGCAGGGGCTGATAGTGAGCTGTGCTGCCCCGCTATAGAAACTACTCAAAATCGAGTTCTCCGAGAGCTGTGTGCGCTTACAAAATCGAAGTGATGCAAAGGCAAAGGCACTTGAGCAGATGGTTTAAGGCACTATATGCGGCTTCTTTGAGTGTAAAGAGCTGTTCTGCGACTTGTTTGAGAGTGTCTTATTTTTCCGCTCACACATGGAGTCAACTATGAGTCAAGCGTAGGCCAAGCCAGAGTAGAGCACTTGCGGGTTAGCAGCCTAGTGCACCCGTTCTGCTACGTCTGGAGACAACCAAATCCAAATTTCGTTTCTACGAAAGAAGGGGATGGAGAGTGGACGGTCGTAAACTGCGAGAGACCACTGCATAACATCCCCCGTCGCCCCATCCCTCAGATGCCCTTTGTCCAGCTGCTGCCACACGGCTTCATCCGTATCGCACGGTTCGTCGCTCTTGATGAAGCCGTCATTTAATAGCGCACGGATTAAGTGGAGCATCTGGGGCCTAACAGATGGGTCTGTCTTCGGGTTATTCAAGTCAACGGAGCCGGAAAAACGGCGAGCAGCAACAAAGCGTTTCGGTAAGGGTTGCACGGTTACGGCGCTTGATACTGGCGCAGGCATTGATTCTGCTGTGTCGAACTGTACACATATTAATACAAAAACAGTTGTTAAGGAGTGAATGAGTGAGCAAACAAAGACTAGGAGGAAAATGGAAAAAATGGCCAACTGCTGCAATGAATTTACAATTACACTTTGTACAAGCGTGATCAAACTGACGCTAGAGAGATGAATTTGTAACTGGAATATTCAAATGTGTGATTAGTTTTATCCTTGACATATTATACCTTTGCTCCTGAGAGCTGAGAACCCTACAGTGCCTCACAAACAAAACAAAGGTAGACTGCAAGTTTAGTGATTTGCGTGCTGAGTTACTTCTTGGGGAGGAAAGAACCGCATGAAGCTGAACTTGTCTCCGTTAGCAAGGCATTCTACGGGGGCTGTCATGGCGATCTTCTTCGCTGCGGCAATACAAACTCAAAAGGTCTAGGAGATCTGTGTGACACGTGGACGTATCAGTTCGCTCGTTCTTAAGGGCATCCGAATCTCCATTTTGCTCCACGAATGACTAGGAAGTGCGGTATGTCTCACACTCTGAGTTTTTAGGGACGTCGAATGCGCCAATGTAGTCAGCAAGTGTAAAGAAGGTGCTTCTTGAGTCAGCTTGCCATTCAGCCTGCAGCAAAACCAGTATGCGTCAAACCCACGGTGCTTAAGCCGCTACAATCTTAGGCTTTGATCCTTTTAGTGGCAATGTGCAGCCCGACCTAGGCAAATTGTCAACAGGAATATACCATATCAGGTGAATCTCGTACGGACATGTCAATATACAGAATCAGGAAACACTGCGAGACCTTTGTAGGAGCGAAGCCCTGCTGTAAACCAACAGCGTTTATTTCATACTGTTCAAGTCGTGATGACTTACCTGCACTACAGGATGTTGGTTGTACAGGCGAATTTCATAGGCTGGAGCATCTTTGATGACTTCGTACGGTAGAATCTCTGTGGATGTCCTCCCAACAACAGAACCCATTATCTATGACAAAACGCAAAATTAAGTGTTAATTGACAGCAAATCATAATTTCATATCCAATGATTGAATAAATGGAGTTTGTACTCTGTCGGTGACAAGAACCATGATGAAATTTTCACAAATTCTTGTTTGTGTAGCTTGCGAATAACACAGAGCTCGGATCTAAAGTTAAATTAGGAGAATATTGATTATGATGATTAGAGGGTTGACGGCTTTCCTCCCTTTCTCATACCGCAAGCGCTCCTATCAAAACCCACAGTCACGAAAACGGGCGGATCTGAAACTTGAGAATGGAGCCTTGGAAGCAGTAAGCCTCTCGGATCAAAAATTGCGATATATTTTTTCTTACTTGCGAAGCACTCGACTTTTGTTGTCAAAAAAGTAAAACAGAAGAAGCGGCAGCTGGCAGCGGCACGTGGCATCCACGGATGGCGATGCCCAGTAGTGGTGTGATCTGTTACGCGAACTGAATAGAAATGTCTGTGCCTGACCAGTGCCATTCTATAGCTTCGAGGGCATCCCTCTTTGTTTTTCTCAATGTTCCTTCGAGTTAAGGTGTATTTCCAAGCCTGCGTTTCTCGAGGAATGAGACATTTTTGCTTACTTTAAGCCATGCCGGCTGCCTTCTTCGTGCTAAATTCTGAGACTCCTTTAGTCGCATTCCGTGGCATGTTGCCCTCCCCGTTGCACATCGCCTTCAAGTAGCCCTCGCGATCCATCCCCTTTCCTCACCCCCCTTTCTCTCTTTGCTGGCGTTACCTATCTTTCTCCTTCATGGCCTCTTCTTAGCGTCGAAGTTTGTCTTTGACGTATCTACCATCACCGTGCGCAGCCTCTATCTGGGGCTACACGCTATTACGTGGCCTCGAGTGACATTGCTGACAAGCGAGGTCACAATCAAATGGCAAACCAGCGAGCGGATGCTCGATCTGCGGCTGCTGCAGTGTCACGGGCGATTTTTCGACGAAACTGGAATAATATAGAACCTGAATTTATTGTCGTCGCTCCAGGAAGGCAAGGCTCCAGATTAACCCTGTTAAACTTTGCTAGCCATGTTCCATCTACATCGGCCTCCCTCTTCCCTTCCCTCTTTGAAACACCGAACAAGCACAAGGGCCCTCCAAGTTTTACTCTTCTCGAATATCCAGAGCATAATCTCGTTGCCGTCGTTTCAATGTTTGTCTTCCCCCATGTTCTCGTGCTGTGCTCCGTCCTTGGTGCATTCCCATTCCCCATGAGTTGCTCTCTGCACTTGTTTGTCTCCCTTTGTTTTCATTCATCTATGTTGAACTATTCTTCATTGTGCTTTGCCCATTGCTCCCGTTCAGCTGTTCGCATCTCTGCTTGCTTGCCCAGGGTTTGCCTGATTGGCGAGCACATTGATTACAGCGGCTACTCTGTTGTTACCGCGGCAATTGAGAGGTTCTGCTGCTGTGCCATCAGCTGCAAGCAGCTGTCAGAAGCAAGCCCACAAGTAACAAGCAGAACTTCTACAAACGCAGATAATACAGCTTTGGAGAGTGTACACACTAATGAGAGCAGCACTGAAGCAGCGGAAGGACTCGCACCCCTTACAGGAGTAGCAGAAACTTCTATAGGCGTTAACCGAGTAGTAGCACCGGAAAGCTGTCATACCGATGGAGAGCCCAATGATCAAAGGGTGATTGAAGAGAAGGTTGCAACTCTCGAGGATTTCCTTACAGTTAAACATCAAGATGATGATAATTTCGCTCCTCTTTGCGTCCAAACACTGGACTCCCTCTTCGTCACCCTTGAAAATTCGGTTCGAGCCGGAGATGAGGCCACCAACAGCTCTGCCCAAGCGATCAGAAACTCTATCCTAACCAGGATGCATGTGTGGCATTCTTATGTTATTGCCGGATGTTTGGGGGCTCTAGAGTTCATAAACTCGCAGGACAGCACATCTGTAGGACGTCTCACATCCTGCTCTTGGGTAGATTTTGCAGGTGAAATAAAAACGAAGGTGCCGGCAGTTTCCATAAAAGTGGCGGTCTCTGGAGACCTACCCCTGGTATGTGTTGTATGACTACACTAATCTACAAATAGTTGGTTATGCCTTCCGTGGATGTTGCATGCAGATATGATGCGTATTGCAACGTACAAAACAAGTGGGGCAGTGTACTGTGAAGCGTTTCGCACAAGGGTTGTGGTCAGCTTCAGCCCGTGACACGGATGGATGTGTAAGCTTCCAGCATTCATACAATAGTGAGCCTCGAAATCAGTAAATGTGCATGGTGGAACATAATACTACGCATCGTTTGGTGGAATAATGCGTGGGCATAGTGAGTCGGACAGCCGTTTAGACATCGATGCACCGAACCTGTGGTGCAGCCGAGAGGCAAAGAGGAATGTGATACACTTACGAAAATTGAACACGTACTTTCGTTAAGACGTGGCACAACTATGGAGCTTTGTGGGAGTACGGCGACACGGCCGACTCCTTATCGACAGCAGTGGTCTATGCAGCTTCATATTTGTATTTCCTCATCCTTCATGCCTGCAGTGCAGTTGGAATTACACCTCGAATACCAGACCATCTCAATTTTGCCTAATTCTAAGGACTATGTAATTTTCTGTAGAGGACTCCGTGTATGTGCCTGCCAAATTCACAGGGCGCAGGTTTGTCATCCTCGTCGGCTTTGGTGATTGCCGTGACTGCAGCAGTAAGCGCCGCTTTGGGCTCTGAAATATCACATCGTGAATTAGCCGAAGTCTGCATGCGTGCAGAGAGATATGTGGGGGTCCAAGGTGAGCTCCCTGACGGGCTACACAAGTTTGTCTGCGTCTGGGCACCAGTGCTCGGCAGTCAGCTTGAGTGGAAAGACAAGTAATGTAATCATGTCAATTACTGTGGGGAAAAGGCTTTATTATCACACCTACTAGCACGCCTATATAAACCACGCATTTACACATTTTCAACACCATGCAATTGAGGAGACACGGTTGCCATGCCAAGCATATTCTACGGCATTGCTTCTGTACTTCGCAGGGGGTGGAATGGACCACGCGTCTATCTGCCTAGCTTCTTCTGGCTTCGCTTCCCTCATATCCTTTCATCCCCTAAGCGTTGAGCTTTTAAAATTGCCGGAAAACTGCTCATTAGCCCTGGGTTACTGCGGAACAGATGCGAAGAAGGTTGAAGGCAGCCATAAGAAATACAATCTGCGTGTCCTGGAGTGCAAGCTCGCGGCTTTGCTACTAATGGGGTGAGAAAGTAACAGGGAAGGTGCAGATGCTAATCACTTCTACAGAATAGCTGGCGAGCCTACTTCTCTTTGCAAAGTGATATTCAGCACCTTTATATAACAGGCAATAACGCATGCAGTTCAGCAACGGGGTTACAATGGCTGCATCCTGTAACAGTAGTTTATATCAATCTCTGCAAAGCCGTGATTCTGACCTAGCCCGCTCCTGCAGTGTTCCACACGTCATTAAGCATGTTCACATGCACTAACGTATATACGTATAGGCATATATATCCAAGGCTTTGCACGCCTGTTGATACATATGGTGGGTTCAATAAGCATGGGAATGCGCATCAAAATATGTACATCTGAACCAACTTGCACGCCTAGCACCATCTGTGTCTTGTAAATTTATGTCCAGAGCAAAGCCATCTTCTTCGAGTCCTGTCGAAAGTTTAGAGCGCATCGATCTTAGTTATGTGCAGTCCACATTCCTTGGAACACTGCAGGTAACCAGCACCTTCCCGAGAGCACTAATCAGTATACATACCTTGATTTCTGCGATGCGTTGAATGCTTGCCACCGCAAGGGCAGTCGCTGGTGAAGGGACAAAACGGATAGTGAATACGATGAGCAGGTTCCTAGTAGCTTCTTTTCTATTGATTATGCTCATTTAGGATGCAGTAGCTGCAGTTGAAAGAACCTTTCACGAAGAGCCCTATACTAAGGAGGAACTGGAAAGCATTTTGGGAGACTTGCTAGGAAAGTTACTGAGTGAAATGCCTACGCTCGGGGCCGCCTGGGAAAAAAACACATTATTTAAACTTCGCCAGTAGGGATACACAGTGCGCAAACGGCTCGGTCCCTTCTCTGGTGGTAGATCCAACATTGACACATGAAGCCCGCACGCAGCAACTAATGAAAGAGCAGCATAGTTTTATACTTTGTTTCGCATGCACCAGCTAAGATTTTAAGGCATGGAGAAAATAACCCTTCTCGCGTCGTTCTACGTAGGTGGGATTGTTTTAATGGAAACTGCTCCGTGTGCCCAGAAGAGCGCGCCACGTGTTTATGGAAGCCATTCGCGTCCGCCAGTTTGCAGACGCCTGTAACGGGCTAGGTTCCGAGGAAGACAAACTACAGGTACGAAACCACTGTGTTGAAGTTTGAAGGAGGCTTTCAAATTCTGAAAGCTTTTTCACTGAGAAGATTTCGCAGCACTTGTTTAGTGTAGTTGGTATGGATTGGAAGCAGTAAGTTAGGTCTTTCTCGAAAAGCCAAGTGTGCAAGTGTGCGTAGTTTTGTGCAAGTCAATGATGAATCTGGAGCTTTTCTTTGATGCATTATACGTACACGCATGGATAAGTTTACGCATACAGACACGCAGTGGGTTTGACCGTGGACTCACCATCTACACGTTTTCTTTTTCCTGCATCATCTCCGCAGACCATCGGCACTCTAGCCAACGCTTCGCATGCCTCTCTGAGAGACGACTTCCAGTGCAGCACTGATCAGCTTGACGCCTATGTCTCCAGCGCACTGGCAAGCGGCGCAGTAGGCTCACGGCTAACTGGGGCAGGTAAAACCTCCAACTGTTTCTATCTTTGTAACTTCTGCTCTTTTAATACTCAATCAAGCTGCCCTTGCACATTGAGCAAAAACATGTTTGCAGTCTTGTAACCTCTGAACTAGAAGAGTATTCATTTCAAGTTTGTGTATTTCTTGCATACTCTGCTTTTGTATTATAAAAGGCCGCTTGAGTGCATGTACTCCGTTCAGCTTTCTACGCACTTTGTCCTTAATAAATGGTAATGCTTCATTGCTTCAGGATGGGGAGGCTTCACAGTGTCTTTTCTGCGGAAAGGCGACGAAGAACAATTCAAGCAAAAGGCATGAACCCTCGGACACACCCCCGCTTATCGCAGAACCAATATTCGTTCGATGTCTGCTGACCCGTGGCTGCATATCAAAGTTGCAGGTACTTCTGGAGCCAGGTGTGCTTATCAGCAGCTGGTGGCCTGTGTTGCATTCTATTTGTGTATCCTCAGATAAGCCCTTTCTTTTCCGGAACCCCCGAAGCTTCTCCCCGCCTTTTATGTTCGATGCCAGCAAGCGCCGTCTGCGTATTTGACTTGAGGGTCTCTTCAAAACAGCACAAGTCTACTCCACCACACGGCTGCGCGGATGGGCACAAATAGTGATTATTGATTAATGGTGCATAATGTATAAATCGAAAGCGTGTCGCAATATACTACATAGATTATCTTTTCGTGCGACAACTATCCTTTTACGGTGCGTGTACGTGTGTCAGCTTAGCGAAACGCATATGGAGGATCGTGTGAAATTTCTCTAGGCATGTCATCAGGCTGCAAATCCCTAGGTGGTTACCTGCCCACGAGTGCAAAAACGTCTGTTATTTCTTCATTTATCCTCGGAGGATCCCCTTCAAATATTCATCATAGACTCAAAAATACGTACTGTTTTTGGCGACTGCTATCCTTACTCATAAGTGTCTGCGGTAGCCTTTTATTACGGTTTGGAGTCTGCCCTGTGTTCTGTATCCTAAGAGCGAATGCTCTGCGTGGCCAAGCCTACATGACGACTGCTGATCAGTGCTCCTTTCTGCATAGATTGTGGCCAGCACTACTGCATACATTGCTGGGCATATGATTCAGCACTTCAGCTATACAGGCATGCAGAAGCCTCAAACCAAACACTACGAATCAGAAGTGCCCCCACCACGCAGCTACTTCCCTGCAAGGAGACAGGGCGCAAAGCCTATGCACACTGCACCTTTCTGTAGCATTTACACAGCTTCAGCTAGTGTCCAAGATGGAGAAGCATTAGCTTTTGGAAAATGCAAAACTGAGGCACCTCAGCAGCCAGTAGCGTCGGTTGATATCACCCCAATTCCGCAGTAACTAAATGGCACTAAACAGTTTGGCCCTCAGAAATGAGGGTTCTGGTGGAGGGATACAAACGGCTGCTTCGACCCCAGAGGTACAGCATTCGCTCCACGGGGTATTACAACTCTTTGCTGCTGTTGAATGTGTTGCTGCTGCACGGTTCCTGGCTGCATATGATGTTGGTGAAGAAGATTATGCTGAATCCACCACTGTTGCTGCTGCTGCCAACGATCAGGTGGCACCACAGCCCCTTCCGTCTTTGCACGTTTCGCCTTCGATCGCCTGCAGAGGCGTATAACAAAGCGGCAGACTCTATTTCAGCTAAAGACACCCCATAGATTATTTTGAAGGGCCTCGGTCGCAACGGGACAGGACAGCAGTTGTAGTGCATGGAAAACTTAATCAGCATCGAACCTGCTCTATGCAGATTGCGTTTCCTACTTTCGGTGCAGCAAAGTTTCACATAAAAAATATTTCACCAAAATCTACACCTATCATGCATTTCTCAGCAATCAACTCACACGCCGCTTCATGATTACGGTGGTTCAATCCTGCTTTTCAAGCTTAGAGGAAAAATCAACGCCTCGGTGCGGGAAGTTGTGCGTCGCTCTTCTCTTTTCTAGCTTTGCGACTCAACAGTGACTAGCTGAAACGTGCAGTTGTTGTATCCAGCTACCTCACGATTGCAGGCGGCTCACCGTGACTTCTTGCTGGGAAGGCCTCTCTGCACCGCGGTGCTACACAAGTTGGTGTTGGAGCTGCTTGCCTCCACCTCGCTGCTGCTGCTGTCTTCTGCTGGTGGTACCTTGTCCACTTGAAGAACCGATGGGTCAAACCAGGGAAACCTAAAAAGAGCAACATTTGGCGCAGAAGAATAGCCAAACTACTCGTACTGGACATGCTGTTTTTTACTCAAAGACATGGCCCTGGCTGCAAGCATATATGCTGCCAGAATACGGATCATGAATGCTCAATACAAATGCGAGATGAGTATACGCTGCACAAGAACGGCACTTATCATGGATGTGAACTGCCCCTCAAGCAGGGGACATGCCAGGAATTCGTTGAATGAAATGACGACGAAAAGTCTCAAAGGTTCAAAATTCGAATACAACTGCCGACACATGGGATGCCTTCAACCAATACAGAAGCCTCGTACAGTGCAGATAGCCCTGTCTTTTGCTGAGCAGCCTCGCCATGCTGCGCCTCCTGCTGCTGGCTTCGTTGGTCATCTAGAGGCGTTGCAGTCTGCGTATTCAGCTGCTGTTGCTGCTGCGGCCTGCGTGCTGTTTGCTGCTGCCGCTGCAATGGCTGCTGCAGCTCGGTAGGGGCGAAACGCTGCACCTGAGCTGTTGAGGTGTTGACACCAGCAAAAGCAAATATAGCGGTCCGCTGCGGCAACAGGACAAGACAAGGCACAGCACTGACTCCCAAGACATGTGGCAGCCAAAAATCGGCGTATGCACCGCGGTCTTCGGAGCACAAGGTTCAAGGGAAGAAGAATATAGAGGACACCCCTTGGAGCGAAGACGCCATCTATTTTGACGCTGCAGACGCGAAGCGCCGAATATCCTTTCGCAACAGCAAAGCCGGTGCAGCCTTTTTTGTTTCTCACTCCCTGAGAAGACGCTTGGGCATGTGCGTACCCAAGATAGCAACTTGCAAGAGAGAGATGTTCGATCATGCCGAAAAATACGCAAGTTAATCAAGCAAAGAAAGCACAGCACTCTGGACTCGTATGCCTCACTAGATCTTTCGGCAGCAAAGCGCCTCGTGCCCAATGAGGCTTTAAGACCTCCAGAGGACCCCAAATATGTGGAGGGCAGACGCCAATCCTCAAGCGGCGGCCTGAGCCTGTTAGGTTGCCGTATGCAGACACTCTAAGACAAACACACAAGCCACCCTGCACCCGTGAATTCTGCAAGGCGCAGTCGCGGTGCGCAGAGTGCATAAGGCCCCCCTGTGACGCATGCACCAGTTCACCAGCACCGTGGCAGCATCCGCAAACAAGGGACTGCAGCATCACCAACGCCTACAGTGGCTGCAGCAACCACGGACAGCCACGCCATATCAGCAAAAGCGACAGCGGCTACAAATCCGGCTTGTATGTGACAGTCCATGGGAGTCGTGCTGCGCGCTTACGCCGTATCCAGACCCTGCGCTGCAGCCACCGCTTGCTGCTCTGCACCGAACAGCAACAGTGCCACTCTGCATACAAAAGCCAGCACATCCAAGTCACCCCACCCCTCGGACAGACCGCCAGCTGCCCTTTTTGCAGCGAAGAAACCCGCCTTCAATTCTTTTCCTCTGCTCTGCCCTCAATATGCACACGAAATGTCTCTGGTGCTGCTAGGAAAGACGACGCTCTTAGGACTCTGAGCCTTGCGGCATCTTGCATCTTTGCTTGCGCTGCTGGAGCGTCTTCGAGAAAAAGAAGACACAGACTACTGCGCTTTCCTACTGCACTAAGCCCTGTACGTCTGTGTGCTTCACTCTATACCGAAGCAATGGAGCAAAAGTAAATTACCCGGAAGGCTTTGCGCCTGTTGCGCTGCCCAAGACGCGAACGCCAATAACCCGGCCGAAGGCACCAGATAATTCACGGAGAGAGACGTCATTTATCCACTGAAGAGCACACACGCCCTATGAAATCTTCACATCGTTAAGGAAACGCTGGTGATGCGTTCAAGTTTGGTGCTCGCCAGGCGCGCCTTACAGCTGCCTAATGACGAAATCGAAGTTTGGACTGCTCGCTTGCTCCCGCCCTCCGTTTTATTTGAAGCCATCAAAACGTTTCCACCGTTTTCTCCTGCCCACCCTAATGGCTCCCCCGCAAATCAAGCATCCAGTACACCCGAGACCGTGATCAAAAACAGCTTACCCAAGGAAGGTTTGAAACAATAAGTAATTGCGAAGCTTTCGCGTCGACCAGCGGAGGCACCGGAGGCGGGATACCGAGGAAGAGTGGGCGCTCTGCATTCCACAAAGCATGCATGCACTAAGCGTCAAGCTGCTGTTGAAGGCTTCCGGTTCGATTCTCTAGATCGGCGATATTAGTGCTCTCGAAGCAAAGGACGACTAATGCAAAAGCTGCTGGTACTTCCACGTGACCTGCTGAGTATATACACCTCGGGACTATAGATTAGAGCGCGGGATATTGAATCACCTCTACGCATGTAATGAGCTGCACGCTTTCCCTTGTCTTGATGCCCCCAGCGCAGCTGAATCCAGCAAAAGTTCAGAATCACAATGCAAGACAAGAACCATCTGCCTACCATCTCTACTACAGTGTCTCTGGGTGGCAGTAGCTACGTGCCAAGACGACCCGCTGTGCAAGAGGCGATCTACTATTTTAAAGGTCGTTACACACGGGCATGCGAGGTTCTGAAGACACTTCTGGAAGCAGTGGCAGATCAGCGTCACCACCAACAACTACAACGCCATCCTCATCATCCGCCTCATCTCCTACGGCAGGGGGTTGTGCTGCTGCTCCGGCACCTGCTGGGGCTGGTGTAACTACTGAGGGCACTGGCCTGTTAGAGCCGCTACTTGAGGCAGACGGCTGAAAAGCAGCATCAGCGAGCGGCAGCTGAGCAGTCGCTTGTGGGTGCTGCTGCTGCTGCTGCTGCTGCTGCTGCTGCCGTTGTTGTTGTTGCTGCTGCTCCTTTGGAGTTACCGAAGCAGGACCCTCAAGGTCCTCATACAAGTCATACTCATCGTCCTCCATGACCTCGGATGATGCAGGTGCTGGAAATCCTGCTGATTTCCAGCAAAGTGCTTCTCTTCTAATGCCGCTTATTTACCCAGTGCACCTTGCCTTAGTGTCAGATTCTTTGAAATATGACTGCTCTACGGATTCTGCGGGAGCCGCTGAAGGCGCAGCTTGGGGAACTGTGGGCGATTAGTGTTTCGTTGTTACGGACCCTGCAGTGCTTGTTTCAGGGGAGGCCTTGCCTTCCCGTTGCAGCAAACCTGCCACTACTATGGTCAGATAGAACGACTCCTAGCGCCCAGCCCTCTCTGTAGTTCACTATTGCGCGGAGAGTTAGAGTCCTCTGTCTCCATCAGATGAATTTTTCGGGAAAAGGGGCTCCTGGCCGAGACTCCCAAGCATGCAACGGAGGGCAAGTCGCTCGTGAGGGTGCCGCTCACTGTCGACCGTAGCCTCTCCTTCTATTCGACCGTTGGCGATTGCGGTGAATCTGAAGTCGATTTCCTGTAGGAAATATCGTGCAAGGGCACATTATGGATTCCTTCTTCCAGCGTCACGCCACAAACACCCCTGCAGCACTGCATGTGGCTCGAGGGGGCCCTAGCCAGCAGGGTCTTATGGAGAAGGATCCGTGGCCACTAAACCACTATGTTCAACAGAATTCATAGAAACAAAGCTAAAGGGCGAGATGAGAAACTGTTGCATCCCTTTGAAGCAAATGGTCTGCGCAGACACCGGTAGACGCTCAGCAGACCCTTAGGTTTTCAAACAGCGATGAGACCAACTGGATGACCGTCCTCTGAATGCCCGCGCGAATACTTCACTGATTGCTGCTTCATCATTTCCAGTGCCAGCATCAGCAGCATAAGGCCATCAGCTGCGCGAGTCGCAGCTACCCTGAGGCGGTGACTACGTATTCCTAGAAGAGCAAGCGCAGCAGGGTAACAGCAGGTGCAGCTGAATACATGCCTGTTTGTCACAGCGAGGGCTTCCATGCAAACTCTTACGATGTAAGCAGCAGAAGTGGTGCGGAGTGCCGCACCTGCTGCAGTTGCTGTTGCTGCTCATCTGGGGATACCTGCTTGGCGAAGGCAGAAGCTATTGAGTTGCCATTCCCCGCAGGGACCCCACTGATGCTGGAAGAGACATGGAGCCTCGTCGCTTCTTGTAGAGCTCAGCGACAACAACAGGCACTGGCAGTGGTTCGCGTCGTTGGTATTTCTTATGGCCGCTTCCATGGAACGGAGCTGCTAACAGGAGGCGAAGACAGGCGACGCTTTCTTCTTGTTGACACTACGTATGCTGCCACACCCTTGTAGAATGGCTATAATTTTTGTGCAGCTGCCTGAGCCTGGCTAGGGTGTTCCTACAGGGCACACATTTGCATACACCGCCGTTTCCTGTGCCTCCCGCTGTCGGAACGAGTAGCTCTAGGCTCTGCGCGGCGCCAGGCCAGTTGTGTTTTACTGCAAGCGTGCATGCGTTCAAGACGGGTCGTGTATTTACACTGCATTACTGGACTTCTGATGATTGCGTTGCTGCAGTATGCTGCATTGGAAACCTCAGTTCGAGCATCATGGCTGCTATCAGTTCGTAGGGCCGGTATTCCAGACGCTCCTCCATCCGCAGCAGCTGCATCAAATAGCAGCATCTCTGCAGACAGCAGAGCTTCAGCAGTCAGACGTCGTCTTAGCGGCAGTAGCTTCTGCACCGGCAGCATTATCTCCGCATGTGTCGGTTCCACTCTTGAAACCACGACTCTGCAGACGAGTTGATGGTTTTGACTTCGCACAATACAAACTGGCTCTTCGTCTCTTGCGTGCAATTGAGCCTCAGACAAAGCCAGCCGTGGCTGCAGCCCTTTTCAGGGACGCTAATGTGTCTGAAGAGCACGAAGAGCAGATTGAGCCAATGGATTCCCAAGCAGGAGCAGTCCCTGCTTTCCGTCCGTTGTGAATCTACATGACATACGTCTGGTGTATGCGTGCCCACCCCTTCTGCGTTGTTATCTGTGCTGTATCGACCTATATTGGCGAACACTTCCTATGCGGATGTCATAGTCAAGGACCAACGCTTAGATTGATGCAGCGTGGGGCAGCACAATGGGGAGGCGGCCTTCAGCTTTGCTCTTGTGCATCAGCTTCGCTGCAGCAGCTTAGGTGTTTTGCACTTTAAGCGAAGCTCTTTCACGGGAGGAAGCGTCCCAAGCGTTCAATTTTTCACCTCTCACTAACGCAGGTCTTGCACGACGCACGTTCCGTCGTAGTTCACAAGTTTCAGACTGCGTCACGATTCCTTAGTAAGGCACTCAAGGGGCAGCTTGGCAACCGTTCGGTTGAGGCAATGAAAATTTAAGTAGAGCATCTAGCTACAGGGCGACGAGAATTACGTTCAGCTTTATTTGCATCTCAAGAGTGAAGGGCACGCTTTTTGCCGCTTTATCAGTTCGAGCCAGAACGTATGCTGCATGCCTCCCATGAAGAAACAAGTATATGAGAGAAAGGAATTAACAGTACTCAAGGGCTTCTGATCAACGCTAGACTGTGGCTGCGTCTTGTGCCAAGGCTTAACTACAATGGATTCAAATCTCTTTAATACAGCACGCGAGCGGCAATCATACAAGATCTTGGCGGGCACACTTAAGAGCAAAGCGCTGACGGTTTAAAAAGGCTCTAGGGATTCGCATTTCGAGAGAAAGCCCTAGAGTGCCAGTGACCCACTGGATACTCGCCTACTACTGAAAGTGCTAAGAGATGCAAGTAAAAGAAATACACTGAGCAAACGAGCTCAGGCACACCTACTACTCCTAACAAGAAAACGAAAGACTCGCGCCGTGCGTTGCAGCCGTACCGGTCCATCAAAAGTACCCGCAGAGAGGCGCTTCTTAGCTCCAGACTCAATACAAACTCAATAAACGGGTGTTGAGTACTTGTCAGAAGAGCTCGCTCTTTCCTTCAGCCTTGCGCCCCTCAGAGACCTCGACATGATAGGAGATATTGGACAGCTTATGTGTGCATTGCTGCTGCACTGCACTAACTAAACCCTTCAGCCATAGCTGGTTGCACAGAGCATGTAGCGCGCATACACACAATATTGAGTCTCCGTTTACCGAGCTATCAGTACTGTACAATGAACATACAAACAAACCAACTGGCTATTCTATACCTATTTTTCGCTAAACATGACTACTCCAGCAGGTGTTGAAGTAGAGCGAAACCCTCTACACACACTGTTAGTGTAAATGGCCAGGTACGGGATGCGAGGGCGTGTGCAATGAGGGGCGGATGTAGCACGATAAGCTAGATTTCAACATGTTCTACTAGAGTGGCTATACTTATAGAGGATTTTCAGACGATTGGCTAGTTAGTTTGCCCGTTGTATCTTTTGTGCATTGCAGAGTACAGCCAACTCGGCACATGAAAACTCAGTGCTGTGCGCTAGGTGCTATGTGCAGCCACCGTCAAGTGCTTGGAGAGCTTGTAAGGAGCAGCAACACGCACTCCTGCTGCCCCTCTCTCTGCCTGTGGGGACCTATGAGGCGTTCGGGGTCACGGGAAGGGGGTATCTATTGTGAAAAACACTTAATAAGCTTCTAATCAGATAGTACTGACTGTGGAATTGAACGTCTCCCTTCAAGGATCACAGATGGGGCATTACAAAATAGAGACTAGCAGGCGCAATAAGAGAAAGCAGCCCGTGAATCAAGTGCTAAATGCAAGAGGTCACACCTTGCATTTTCTTGCAACACCCTGCTGCTTGTCCGCACTTGTGGCAACGTACCTAGCTTTGGGTTAGCTTGTGAAGCCTACAGCCTTCGCATGCCGTCTGACCACCCGAGACGCCTTTCAGAGGCTTATAAACTTACCTTGCTTTGCCATGCAAATATACATATACGTAGTTTATTGATGGCAGCGAGAGGAGTGTCTGGAGTCTGTTGAAGAAAGATGCGAAACTAATTTTTTGGTATGATCAAGCAGGCCTACACCAGAGCCGTTCCGGTAGCAGCATGCCGCCGTAATTGGGCAGTGCTTATGAGGAGGCAGCAGCGATATGAAGAGGGCAAATGGCATTGTGGTGACAAAGCCTTGACCGATCCAACCATGTTTGTGGGGACTATGGTGGACTGTGCGTCTATCGCCTGCTCCGTTTCGGGGGATGCAGGCGAGTGCGACGCCGCCATGTCATTTGTTCCGACAGGAACGGTGCTTCCCAGTGAAGGATCACCAATATTCCTTTTCCTCTACTAACACATCCTTCCATGAAACTCTCTGGTAGAACTTAGAGCAAACGGGTGTCAAGATTCCTGCTAAAACACACAGGAGGATCTACCCGGTGACATTTCCTCTTTAGCCTTCTTACCTGCCCTTGCTCAGCAGGCCTTGTGTCAAACGCCTTCTGGCGAGAAAATGCTGCAGCGCATCCACACGGTTTTAAAAACCCTATGGTTTGCAACTGTCGATCCCTTTCCCCGTCGTCGCCTTGAAAAACGAATTTATAAGATTTGCTTGCCAAATGGCCAGCACAGAACCAACGAGCTCTCCGGGTATGATGAACCCTGCTCACAGCCCTTCAGGGAGGGGCGTATACAGAAACGATTGTTGCCCGTTTGAGCAGCTGACCGCTGTGCCTCGCAAGTTCTTTTTGATACCGCAAATGGGGATAAGTGGATCCTGTCTAACGTGAAAACAGTATCAGAATGAACGCATGAATTTCTAGTGTACAGCCCCCTATCACTACCTCAGCAGTCATCGATTGAAGGAAGCCGCATTGTTTTCAGCAATGCAAGCACAACAGAGGAGCAGGTAAATGTACTTTTCCACATGAAATGTAATAAAGTGTATATTTTTTGCAAAGAACCCTTCCAGCACAACGGAAACTCCAGCGCACGCGGACCCCACCCTCCTTGGACCAAGGCGATCACCGCCTCGAAGCCCTTTAATACTCCCAAATAGGCTGGTCGAATAGGTAGCTTCTGTGCGTCATTTCCGCGCTAGCGCGAAACCTCTGTGTGCCAAGAGGATCAATATCACGAAGGATCAACTGCGCGCCACTGGCACCGAGAGGACACTCGGCATCCACCAGGTGTTTGGACAGCCCTGCCTTCCCTCTCAGATTCCCCTGCCGCACCGCGCAGCGTCCTGTGGCGCGAAAATCCGCTAAAAGGTTGCGAGGCGTTTTCTGCTGGCTGGTGCCGTCAGGGTACTGGAGTTGCACTGACCGTGAGGCGAAATCAGACAGTGGACAAGATGCAGGACGGCAGGATTACATCGACTCCGACGCCACGAATCCACTCAGCCTTGCCCTCGGTACCGCAGGTTCCTTTGCTGCTTCATCCCCACAAACCGCTTCTCTTCTCGGCACATGGCAGCTGCATGCGCCTATTCAACTATGAGACACAGCAGTGGGAGCTGGACGAAGTACACCATCTCCAGGAGAAGCCGCAGCAACGTGTCACTCTCCCCGCGGCGGATAACCCCCTCGTTGCTGGGGAGCAGCGCGGGCAGCCGCAACAGCAACAGCAACAGACGAGACACACCATGGATATAGCCGCAGCTGATTGTGTGTGTCTCGATTGTGGTCGCCGCAGCACCAGCGTTCCTGTGTTTGCAAGAGTCCCCTGTAGGAACGCAAACAGCAGCAACTGCGTGTGGCTAACAGCAGGCGATGATAAGACCTTGTGTCTGTGGCGCGACAACTCGTTTGAGCTCCTGCAGCGCCGCATGCAGCGAAAGAAAGCCTCTGCTGCCTGCTTTGTATCCTCTGCTGGCCCCTGGCAGCGGAGGCGGCAGGGGCAGGAGGGAGAACCCTTGCACGGAGAGCACCGCATGCACGTGCTATTATGCGACAAATTTGGGGATGTCTTTCTGCTTCCAATGGAATCGTTAGGAGGCCAGCAACGGCTGGCGGGTGACGTCGTGCTAGAACAGCTGCACGCCACGGATACATCGGAGAAGCATTGCTGCCTGGATAACAGCTCAAGCAGCGGTGCAAGCTGCAGTGCTGACGCCACCAAGAGCACAAGCTGCATAGGAGCTATGCCAGCGGAGAACAACGACGATGATGACGAGGTGGACGGCGATGTGCCTGTAATAGCCCATCTCACGACGGTCACCTGTCTCAAGCTGATAGCCGTGCAGCCGCCGCAGCAAGAGAAGCAGCAGCAAGGGAACGATGCCGAAGTGCTCATAACAGGAGATCGCGATGAGAAGATTCGGCTGTGCTTTGCCAGCAGCCCCTGGAATCTCGAGGCAGCGCATTTGGGACACTTGGAATTTATTACTGATGTTGCACCGATCCTAAACAGCAGCACGAGCGGTAGCGAACTGCTACAGCAGAAGTGGGTCGTTAGTGCGAGTGGCGACTGCACGCTGCGATTGTGGGAAATGCAAACGGGCAGGCTTCACTCTCAGGGCAGTCTGGCACTTCAACCATCGAGTCTGTTCAAGGAGGCGCTGCCCCTTGTGAATTCGCTGCTGCAAGAGGCGTCACCCCTGCAGCACAATTCCAAGGAGGCACTGCCAACCTGTGCAGTGTTGCGGGGTCACCTGCTGCCAGTCAAAGTGTTCGTTGACGAAAAGCAGTGCCTCATAGTCGTGCAGGTGCTACAGCTGAAGGGCCTTTTGCTGATTCCATACAACAGCAACGCCCTCCAGCAGCCCCTACAGCAGGTGTACGGACAGGCCCAAGTTGTACCTTTGCAGTATGCTGTTGGCTCAGTACTAGTGGCGCGCCATGCCCGACAAGATATCGAGACTTTCCCTATCTTTGCAGCCCTCAAGCAGCAACTGCAACAACTTGAGCAGCAGCAACAGCAGCAGCAACAGCAACTGCCCTTAGAGAGCATTCTGGTGGCGTGGGTTGTCGATACTGAGGGGAGAGTGCATGCGCCGATTTGCTTAGAGCTGCAGCTCCTTGCAGGTATGCAGCAGCAGCAGCAGCCACACACCTGCAGCACGTTGCTCCCACTCGTTGAAGGGAGTTCGCCGCCGCATACCCCTCAGCACCAGCAGCAGCAAAGGGTATGCCACTGGTGGAAGCTTACGAGAGATCCAGAGGCCCCTACGGTAGATGAGCGCAGAGCTAAACGACTTCGGCACAAGCACTTACAGCAGCAGCAACAGCTTGAGCTAAAGCTTCAACAGCAGAAGAAGCACCAACATGACGAGAAACAGGACCCGAACCGCAACCAACAATAGCAGAAATAATAAAAACTGAGACAACAGCACTGAGAAATCTCATCTGTCGAGTTCCAGACTTTTGGATGAATGAGAAAACTTGGGGCACACACAGTAGATGCACACACTAGTAAAAGGGAGATAGTTCGCCTCTTACAGGCCCTTCTCAAACGAGCTCAGGTACCAGCTGGTAGTTAGTAGTTGGTTGGCGCCGCTGTTTACGCGCGGGGTAGATGGATAGAGACGATTTACGTCAAAGAGAGGACACCGCCAATTAGGCAACTAGCCAGCAAATCTTGGGATAAAAAGGGGGGCGTGTGTTATGGTAGCTCGCCAGTTACCCCTCTGAAATACTGCATGCGAAGTATGTAGCAGGGGAAGCAGAAATGGAGCAGCGACAACAGCGGTGGCAACGGAGAAAACATTAGGTGGCACAAATGCACGAACAATAGGGCGTGGCCGTGCTGTTTCGAAGCTCATTTTACGTCTTGTGGCTTATAACATGATGGCCGCTTCTTCTGCCGCTGCATCGATATCAATATTTTGAATATCTTCTAATACGGCTCGCGCCGCAGCAGCAGCCTCATCTGCTTCCTGGCCGTCTGCACCTACGACTTCCAACCTCTCCTTATCTAGTTCTTGTGCCCCCTGAGGTTCTGTCTGCCGCATCCTCTGGCGTTGTTTTTCTGCTGTTCTGCTGCGACTTCTGCTTCGGGGGGATTGCTTTTCGGATGCTGCCTCGCGCTGCAGCATGCCCAAGGCTCTTAAGATGCGTTTGCTCGTGTACTGGCCTGCCGCCCCTAAGTCTTGCATTCCTTCCCCCTGTTCAGGTTCTTGCTCTTGCAGTTGCAAGGCTTTCTCGGTGGTATCTGGTACTGCTGACGACGATAAGGTCAATGGTAGATCTGCAGATGCCGCGTTTGCTGTTGCTTCCACGGATACGCCTGAGGTGGCTGCTTCTAAGTCCGCAACAGCCGCTGCCTGTGAGGCTGGCGGCTTTGCAGCTGCGGCAGATGCACGGCATACAGGAAAGAAGTCCGTTATCTGCTGCTGCCTCATAAAGGCCCCTGGTGCAGTGTAACGTTGCACCGCAGGCAGCAGGGTCTCCTCGATCTGAGAAGACGGCACATACAAAAGACAAAGACGACCTCCGCGCAAGAGCTGCCACTACTGAGTGAGTGTGGAGCTGCCAAAATTACTAGCTGGCACAAAGACGTGGGCATAACGAACGAAAGCCTACCTGCTGTTCAGACAAGCTCGTACGCTTAAGGAGGATGGTCTTTATTGCCGTAACATTTGGAGGAGCGAAGACGCAAGGCCCAGTCGGTATCCAAGCCGCTGGAGATAAGAAGGCCTCCATGACCTCGATGGAAGGAAAATCGTGAGGGAAAGACCTGCAGGCATCCAAGAAAACTATCGACAAACCCTTGGCGTGTTCCTTTTATCATTCCTTCAAAGCCGAAGACCCCTTCCCCCATAATAGATTCAATATTAAGCCTGCATGGGTTACCAGTGCAGCCTGTATCTTTGGTGTTGCTCTTTGAAGCGCTGAAGCGCCACTGAGTCGCCTTCGGCTGTACTATCTCCCAGAGGCGATTCGGCCCACCTAACACACGGCACCGCCAATAGCAACAAACAGTATGCCGCGCTGCTGTCTAGGTGACTGTGGGCACTTCGCGGCAGCAAAAGCAGTTGTGGCATGAACGCAGGCAGGACGCTGAGGAGTAGGTCCCTCACGCTCACGCAACCGCACGCCAGTGGCAGTGCAACAATGTGGACAACTAGATATGCGGTGGCTGAGGGCCTTTCTAATGTACTCCCTGAATCCAAACAGCGAATCGAACGACGGAAAATGCTTGACTATCTCCACTGCATTCACTGGTCCGACGCCACGCACACCTGTCGTATAGTCGCACCCTGCATCAGAACACACACGGATCTTGAGCAGCACAAAATACTCCTGCATGGTCCACCGAAACAGCCACCGGAGTGTCGCACAGTTAGCTCTTGTCGACTCACACAGCCCTGCTAGCCAGAAACACGGCACAGCCGAAAGGAGGAGGCATACACAAAAATAGTGCTCTAGCCACCCGTGGGAAACCAGCGAAGTCTGTATCAAAAGCTTCCGCGTTAGTTGAGGCCCCTAATCACAACCGAGGCAGCCAGACACCGACCTAAGAGGAGGGCGAGGCAGGCGAGCTGTTGCTGATTGAACTGGAGGTGCTCCTGAATATTCTGCTGCGCGTATGCCTCAACTGTCTTTGAGGACCGAAAGAAATGGCGGTACACTACCGTCGCGCCAAAGACAACACAATCGCTGTCGTCACTAATCACTGCGGCGTCGCAACTCGCACTCAAGAGGTGTCAGCGCATAACATCGAACCAAAGACCCTAAGACTAAACAGCCAACACGCAAACAAGCGCGCCGAATTGTCCTTCTGTTCAGGCGTCGTGTGGGCTCGTTCCCACGATACATGCGAGACAAAAAAGACAACTAAGTGCCACCCATTATGGCAGTTGCATCGGCATATGCCTTAGACCAGTGGCCTCATCACATCGTGAAATACCGGCATCAACAATTCCAGCTTGACAGAGCTTCGCGGCTGTCGCTTCTGCCTCCGCAGGGGCAACGACGTAAGGGATTCCGAAGGCCTCAAGCAACGCCACCAGCTGCACTCCCCACAGTAGCACACTTGGAAGCAGCGGCAGCGCTTGAAGCAGCAGCAGCAGCTATACACTGGCTGCAAAGACGTAACGCAATCGTCTCAGCACCAGCCACCGGCCAGGAGTGCTATGTCGAGGTCCTCGGCGAAAAGTGTCAGCCAACACCTCGAGACGCGACAGCAGTTCCAACGCTAAGAGGAGTGACGGGTTAGGTTTGAGGCCCTATAGCAGGCTGCAGATTCACGAGCGTGAAAGCTGCAATAATTATGGAAGCAGCATCGCACCAAGGCTTTCGTTTCGTCATCCGCGATATCGCCACGGGCCTGCAATCTGCCCAGTTGTTGTAGCAACACCTGTCGCTCTTCATCCAGAGCCTGCGCGAAGCTCTCTTGCTGCTGCTGGTACTGGAGTTTCTGCTGCTGCCACTGAGGATCCATGCCTTCGACAGCGCGAGGCTTTGCAGTTGCACACGCGTGTGCTGCCGCGAAAGCTGCTGTAGAAGCTGCTGACGGGGTCGTCTGCAAGCAAGGGGGGGGGACGGCTTGCTCTGCAGCTGCTTCTGCTGCAGCAGCAGCTGCTGCTGCTTCATCCGCTGCTGCTGCCGCTTCCTGAGCTGCCTGTTGCAAGTCAAGAAGAGCCTCAATTTCTGCCCTCTCCGTTGCTGCTTCGGGGTCCGTGTCTGCGTCATTAGTGGGTGTGATATTTCCAATCGCAGCAGCAGATTTGGCAGCAGCGTTTTGCTGCCTCTGCTTCCGTCTGCGCTCCTGGTGCTTGTGCTCTTCTAAGTGTTGCCGAAGGTAAGGGAACACGTTCAGCCACAAGTCCATGAAGTCTCCTTCCTCCTTGGCCTGGTCGTCTTTCGTTGCTTGCTTCTCCTGCTGGCGTTCTAGCTGCTGCTCGCGCTGCTCCTCAGTAGTCGCACTGCCAGCAAATGCAGAAGACGCAGAAGACGCGTGAACAGCGTCTGCAGGGGTGCCACGAATCACCACTTCCGCAACCGCAGCGGTCTGAACCAGCTGCGGCTGCATTTGCTGTTCAGGAGGCTCTTGAACCTTTGGCAAGTGCAGAGGGGGAAGTGCGTGCAATTCGGTGGCCACGTGCTCTGTGGATTCCTCCTGTCGCTGGCGTTTAGCGCTCATTGGAGAGAACGGATTGCTCTTTATCCGAATGCAGGCTGCCGCTGTTGCTGCTGAGGCGCATTCGGAAATCTGTCGTGGCGTCCCTCTTGCTTGTCGTTCTTCTGGTGCCGCTGCTTCTGACGCTAATGGTGGCAGCTGTATGGGAAGCGGCCCTGTCACATCTGTCTTCCGAGCTTTCTCTGGAGCAGCCGCTGCTTCCATGGCCAAAAAGCGCCGAAAAGCTCCTTTTCCCTCCCCTGTTGCCAGTTGTACTGCTGCTGTGCGTGTCTCCAGAGATGCTGCCAAGGTGCTCCGCTGATGAGCAACGCCCTGCTTGGAAAGCTCCTTGCTTCCCAGGCCTCCTAAATTTATCCGGCATCCTCGAATGCACGTGCTTAGCAGCCGCTCTTCTTGTTGCTGCGGCTGCCTTTCCTGGTGCTGCTCCTGATGCGTGGTCTGCGTCTGCTGCTGATGCTGCTGCGCTAGCGGCTGCTCCTCCACGGACTGGACAGCGACTGACGCTTGCTGAAGGGGGTGATCGATTTCGCAGTCTTCGAATTCGTCATCAGCCCCCATTCGAGAATCTGCTGCTGCGCAGCTTTCGTCTGTTGGAGGCGCTGCTGCCGGCGTGACCTCTCCTACCGCCACTGCGCATGCGCCTCCTGCAGCACCCTTTCCGAAAGGCGCTCGAGCTGCAGTCTGTCCAGAAGAGGCCTTGTCGATTGAACGCTGGTTTTCTCGTGTTTCCAAAGCCGGTGCCTCAGCTTGAACAGATGCGCCTGGTGGTGCAGTGCGTGCAGATATTTGTGCTCCTATGAATTCCTCTGATGCCTCATCACTCGCAGCTAACGGCAGCTCCTTTAGTAGATCCTCTCCAAATATCTCCTTGTCCGGCAGCAGCGCCAAGTGCTTGCCTGAAAAAACACTGACGGAGAACAAAAAGCCCTCTCGGCGGAAAAAACTTTTACGGCACAGCAGCGCAACCCACCCGCCTACGGCTGCTCTGGCGATAGGATGCTACGGTAAAACACACACGATTGCTTGCAGCACCGTACGCTCGCCATCAATGCTCAGAAGAAAATCATCGTCATAGGTCTCGCGCAGTTGTAGATTCTCAGCCTCTTTGCTGTTGCCACTCCTACTCCCAAAGAGCACCTTGAGGTGCCGCTGCTGGATCTCGGCAGCGAGCGACGCAGCTGCAACACCCCCTAAAACTTCGTTGGGATGCATAGACTGCACGTCCAGATGCCCTCGCCCGTGCAGAAGGCGCAGCCGTTGCTCTTCCTCCATCTGCTGTTCTTGCTGCTTCAATAAATCATTCAGAAACTTCCGGCGACGCGTTCGTGGCACCAGGCCGCAAAGCTCCATCCACGATGCGCCTTTGCTGCTACTGCTGCTGCTCGAACTGCTGCTGCTGCTCGAACTGCTTGGCGTATCTGAGGGGTTATCCGTCAAGCATAATACTGCGGGAGTTTCGGCTGTAGGAAAGACAGCATCACACGAAGGCATCCTTCCCTAGTCGGGCGCCCCTAATCTTTGGCGCTCATGAATCCATGTGCCTGTCAACGCATGCATAGAACGGGAAGTCAGCGAAACGACAAGCGCAAGAGCGCGCGCACGCTGCAAACAAATAGACGAGAGGACCCCTTGAGAGATCATAGGCGTACAAGTCTCGGCTTTGAGCCCCTCAACATTCGCGTCGAAGCTCTGCTGCGCCTCTTGCTGCTGCTGCTCTTGCTGCTGCTGCTCTTGCTGCCGCTGCTCTTGCTGCTGCTCTGCCATGCGAGCTTTGACGTGCGTAATCTCCTGAGAGAACACAGCACAAGTCGCACGCGGAGCGGGGATGCCGCAGCCTTCAGGAACCTGCACGCAGAGCAAGAGCTGTAGACGGCTGCAACTCCTGAGCCAACGCCTACAAAATAAGACAATAACCGCGTACCCGGTTTGTTTGTATGGCGCGCACGTAACCCTCCAGCTGCACGTTGGAAAACACTGCAGTGTCTGAGCCGCATCCAAGCGCCCTCAGGCGGGACGCCTCCACCCATGCATCACGGATTTGCAGCAGAACCTGACATACACTCACCCCCGAAATACAAACAAGTTGACACTGAATCGGAAGGCCTTGCACGCAAAAAGATGAGGAGCACTTCCCACCACGCACTGCATACCGCTCTGCACGCCACTCTACACAGGGCCCGCCTACCCCGTGCACCCACAATCCACAACTAACTTGGTACTGCAAGGTTAATGGAAGCGCATTGAAGACTTGAGGATCTATGGCCGAATCCAATGGCAATTCCACGAATTGACCCTCGCGAGTCAGATAGGCTGCAAATATCACGTACACCCCCCCACACGCTTAGCCCTCTGCCTAAGAAGCCCCCTTTCGGGTGTCTACGCAGCACTGGAATAACAATGCTTATGCGGACGGCCACGGTGAAGGAAAAAGGGGGCGGTATCCTTGATTCGCCCTAATGCATGTCATCTGCCCCTTTAGACAACATGTGCAAACGCGTGATGCGACACATACCTTTGAATTCATCAGGATCCCGAAAGACGCGGCGCTCCTGCTTTGTCAGCCCCCGCTTGCCTGATAAGGCCCATCACCAAACACTACAGCGCATCTTCACTTTCTTTGTGCGGCCTCATTTCCCCCCTTTCCCCACCCCCCCTCTCCCCTGCTCCGCATATGAATGCACAGCTCCCCAAAGCTTCACCCCCACCGCATGCCCTCTCAAGCACATCACAATCACATAACCAGAAGCAGGCATAATAGAACACCAGAGCTTCTTCTCCGCTCCGACGTCCAAGACGCAGTCGCCATGCAACCTCACACCGTCACAAAAATCGCCTACTTTTTTAAAACGTCCCCTCACTCTCACAGACCTGCTGCCTCCCCCTTATCTATGAACTTTCGTAGCGGCCGTCCAACCCCCATCCATGCATGCAACTGTTGATCTTTCTTTCTTGGCCCCCCCTCCGCGTGCAACCTCCACACTCCTTGTCGCAAAGAACCCTCACCTCTCTGGCCTTTGTGTCTGTAGGAGGGTGGCAGCGTCAAAATACTTTCTTTCGACCTGCATACGGCAAAAACCCACGCCGAGAATAGCACCTCCCTCGCAGCGGCGAGAGATTCGCAACTGCGGCCAGAGGAGGGGCGTGCGCAATCTCAGCATCTTCAACGCACCCAACGTCCAACTGGGTAAAGCCAATGACTGCAAAGGAAAGAGAACAACAGCATGCCTACCACCAACACGTGTCTCCAAGACGTGCGTGCACGACTGGTTGCCACCCTGGCCTATTTCTTTTCTCAGGGGATAAAATACATGCCTATTCCGGGCCTTACCTTCTTCTTCTTCGCTGCTGCTGGAGCTGCCGCTGGTTTTGTTCTCGTCCTCCTCCTCTGAGGAAAATAGCTTAGGGGTGTCGCCTCCTTCACGCGCCTCTGCAGCGGCAGCGCTGGCTGCCGCTGCCGCCGCTTGCTTCTTTACTGCAGCGTACTCATCTCGAGTACGCGGCCTTTCATAAAAAGGTCTCGCAATACGCAGCTGCTCGCTTCCACTACTCGAAAACGCGGGACGCTCATCGCTTGCCTGCTCCTCTTCTTGCTGCTGCTGCTCCTGCGCTCGTTGCTCTTCTTGCTGCTGCTGCCGCTGGGTAGAAACAGGCTTGCCAAGACCACGCTGCTGCATGCGGTTCACTAACAGCCGCAAAGCAACAGAACGAAGGCTGCGCTCCGCCGCAGACCGCTGACGCCGCCTGCACAGAGCCCCTCGCCAGACTATATATATATATTTATATATATATAGCCTTCAGCCTTTTGATTTCCCTCCATCCTGCAGGGGTAATTGTGATCAGCACCTCCCTTTCCCCAGATCTAACCCACCCCCCTAAGCAAGCTGCCATTTGAAATTGAGTTTAAAGTTAAACTGACCTCTCCAGCAGAGTGCGTCGCTTGAGAGGTGGCGGTGGGCCGTCAAACACGATGATAGGACGGACTTTGAAGTACAACAGCCTACGCAAAAGCAACCAGCAGCAACAACCCCCGCAAAAACACCCCATTTGGACTGCATTGCAGCCACCCCGCAAGCACACTACACATGCAGATACCACGGTGCAGGTAGCATGAGTGCACGCGCGGCGTCAATACGAACGAATCTATGAAACCACCTCCCCACACGAGCCGCACAGCAGCAAACGGTCGCTGCCAACATGAAAAAGGCCGCACGCGCTTCTCACACGTATGCCAGCCAAACAGCAGCAGCAGCGAAGCCGCGAGAAAAGTTGCAGCAACTGAGTGCAGGCGAACCTGCAGAGTCTATTAAAGAATCCAACGATTACAGCACCCGCTGTTGGCGATCCGTCAGGCTCCCTTAGCGCATGCATGAACTGCATAGAGCACAGAAAGGAGCATACGGCGCTTCATGTTAAACTGTGTGTTGGGGGGAAAGGCTACGTGCTTCAAGTAGCCTTCCAATCTCCAGAATTCGCGTTTCCCAACAATGCAGCAACACCCAAGTCTTTCCATAGCCAACGTCTTTTCCCCCCGTTAAGGCCACCCCCTCCTCAACGCAGCTAATGCAGCAGCAGCGACGGCTGGGGCGGAGTCTGCTAAGAACCGTCAAAGCGCTTTGAATGCTTTTAAACAGCAGCACGAAAAGTGCGTCACGATAAAGAGTAAAACATACACACACAAAACACAAAACAAATACACAAAACCAACACACAAAACACAAAACACACACAAAACGCATCTGCAAAAAATAGACACACAGACACACACATACACACACACACACACACACACACACACACACACACACACAAACACACACACACACACACACACACACACACACACACACACACACACACACACACACACACACACACACACACACACACACACACACACAC